TTTGTGCATACCCAATAAAAATACAATCCACCGTTTTTGGACCTATTTTTATTTTCTTAGGTGTTGGTACAAGCACCTTTGCAAGACACCCCCAAACTTTTAAATATTGATAGGAAGGCCGTCTGCCTTTCCACAACTCGTACGGAGTTGTATCATATTTTTTCCGGGGAACCGTATTTAAAAGGTAATTGCTTGACAAGACTGCTTCGCCCCACATATTTTGTGGCAGGCCCGAACTTACTAGCATCACATTCATCATATCTTTCAATGTGCGATTCTTTCGTTCGGCAACACCGTTTGATTGAGGTGAATAGGGTGCGGTACGTTCGTGCACTATACCCACACTAGCGTAAAAGTCACCAATTGGTGCTTCATACTCACCACCTCGATCACTCCTAACCGTCTTAATCCGTCGATTAAGTTGGTTTTCCACTTCATTCTTATAAAGAATGAATTTATCGATTGCTTCGTGTTTATTTTTTAATAAATAAACGTAGCTATAGCGAGTGCTATCATCGATAAAAGTAATAAAATATTATTACCGCCACGTGTTTGTATTGATTTAAAATCACAAACGTCACTATGAATTAATTCAAGTGGTTCCGTTTTTCTTTCAACCGATTTGAAAGACGTTTTCGTTAGTTTTGCCTCTACACAAACTTCACATTTGTGCTTCACATTAATTGTGAATTTAGGAATGTGCTCCATGTTAATCAATCTACGTATAGAATTAAAATTAACATGTCCTAGTCTACCATGCCACACATTAGAAGACTCAAGCAAGTAAGCAGAAGAGATTTTATTATTATTATTAATAATAGTCATTACATTGAGCTTAAAAACCCCATCACATGTATATCCCTTGCGCACATACATTCCCGATTTAGACAAAACCAGTTTGTCCGACTCAAAGACCATGCAGAAGCCATGCTTGTTCAACAACGAACCGGAAATCAGGTTTTTGCGTATTTCCGGAACAAACAACACTTGGTTGAGAGTAAGTTCTTTGCCCGAAGTCATCTTCAGGACCACCTTGCCCACGCCTTTAACCGCGGAATGAGCCGAGTTACCCATCCACACCTTCTCACCATTTGATGGCTTAAAAGTAGTGAATAACTCCCGGTTTGAGCAAATATGCCGGGTAGCACCGATGTCCACGAACCACTCCTTGGAATTGGATCCAACGAGGTTGACCTCGGTCACCACAGCCGCAAAGATGATGTCTTCATCCTTTTTCCCACCTTGCACCAAGTTCACGTGAGAATCTTTCTTCCTCTTTGGTGCCTTGCAATCCGCGGACTTGTGTCCGTTCTTGTTGCAATTGAAGCATTTTCCATTGAACTTCGTCTTGGAAACGCCTCCCTTGGGACCTAGCTTGCTCTTCCCATTATTTTTATTTTTGGAGCCTTTTGCATGCTCCACCACGTTGGCCTTGGCGCCGTTAACGATTGGGAGTTTCCCATCGTTCTTCCGGTTATCCTCTTCAATCCGCAGACGGAGGATCAATTGCTCCAAGTTCATTTCCTTTCGCTTATGTTTACGGTAGTTCTTGAAATCCTTCCAAGCCGGCGGCAATAAATGGATAATTGACGCCACTTGGAAAGACTCACTAACTGTCATTCCTTCATCTCGAATTTCGTTGAAGATCATTTGCATTTCCTCAACTTGACTCAAGACTGTCTTCGAATCCACCATTTTAAAATCAAGGAATCGACCGTACCACACCATCGGTGAAGAGGGAATATATATGTGCCAAGGTAAAAAAAAACACAAATAAGGTAACTTACCTAATCGGAAGATTTCACAGCAGCTACAACAAGGAAAGGCGGAAGGGATATACGCACAACACAATAGAAGCAGATGGACCAAGGAATAAAAGAAACATGGGCCGGTTAATTCCCAGAAAAGAGTTGGGCTTAAGGATAAATGGGTCAATACCTAACAGACCAAGTTTTGAGGGACGGAGAGAGCATTAAGTAATTTTAAATCTAAAGAGCTTATATTAGGATCAATAGGTTTGGTTAGGAAAACAACAATGGACACACAGACCCAGAAAGGTGTTTTTTATAAAGTGTTCAAAGAAGCTGTTTAATTACCAGAGGGAGAGGGAGGAGCTTCCGAGCCAGGATCAGCCAGGACAGGGCTCTCCTGGGGGCTTCCGGGCTCCCCTGGGGGAGCTTCTGGATTCGCCATCAGATCGGGCAGCCCCTAACCCTGAGCAGAGAAGGAAGGATCTCTGTTCTGCAGGGCCTCATATAGGAACTTCTACATCCCATATTTGCTGAGTTTGAAGCACAGGGTCCCCTCTTCATCTAACCTGCCCCCTCCCCCGGAGAAAGGAGTCAGTCCTGGGCAATTTGAGCTTTGCGGCCAAGTAGGATATGTTCCACCTCCGCCCTGAAAGCCTCTCCTTCTCGAAAGGCCTGAACAGTGGCAGGACCGACCTCTTCCGCCTTTGTCCTCAGCTCCCTCTCCATGATCCGATGAGCAGTCTCAACGTCCTCCAGCCTCCTCTGTAGTGTTCCGACCTCCTTCACAATTGTCACTCTGGCCATTTCCACTATCGGCAGCCTCCGCTCCATGTCTGTCACCGTTTTCTTGAGGTCGTCATGCCCCTCATCCAAGCGATGGGAATCAGAAGCAACAAACACGAAGGCCTAAAAAGGGATAGCCATTCTAGATGAGGAAGAGAGTTATGGGATTTACAGAAACAACAATAACAAAGGTTGAGGAAAACAATACCTCGGACATGGAATGAATGGCGTGTCGGATAGCAGACCGAGGAGATAGGTCCTTGATCTCCTCTGCATCAGCGGGAGGTGTGACAGCCAGGCCCAGAGACACAAGGTTCACAGTGCGAAGAAACAGGGAGGCCGAGCCCGACCGCATGGTGAGCTTGACGGTATGGAGAGGTGTCGGGGCATCCCTCTACCTGCCACCCTCCAGAGACTGCGCATCAGAATCCGAATCCACGTCGACAATGCCATTAGAAGGCATTGCCGGCCTGATCTGGATTCAATCATAACCATCCCATCTTAACCTACATAGTTGCCCATCAGGAAGGGCGAGCCTTCAACAACCAGTTTGACGGCCAGCTCATTCCCTTTTGGCAAGTTTGGCATCACCCACCTCCGAATTAGCCCCCCCTACTTGTTCTTGAACGGGAGCATGCCGTCTACCGGGGTAACCCAAACCCATTTATGCCTCCAGCCCTTAAAGGAATCCGGGTAGGATTTGGTCGCAAATAAACGATGACTCACCCGTTGGGAGATAGAGAAACAACCTTGGGCATCAAAGGCGCCAGGCCTTACGGAGTGAAAGAAATTGAGGACTATGTCGAGGTAGGGTTTGATTTTCAAACAAATACACCGGGCAATGAACCCTACGATGAAGTGGTGGGAGAAAGCTGACCCGGAATTACACCATAGTGGCGCATAATATCTAGAAGTGCAGGGTGAATGGGGAATCGCAACCGAACTTGCAGACTTGCCAGATGAATCCCAAAATGGGAAGGCAAAGGGGGCTCCACTATATTTTGACCAGGAATGGGGCGAGAACACATAACATTGGGGTCGACGAGGGCCACCACCTCGTTAAATTCAGAATCAGAGAGGGAGGCGGCCAGAACCTCTCTGGCCGCCTGACCGCCTAGGTCCCAGCTTCCAGGAAGGGGACGATGCCATCCGACCCGAGGGCACCCAGCTGCCTGGTCGCCTGGCTGCCTAGGGCAAGATGCACGCACGCACGCAGGTTCCAGGAGAAAGAGGAAAGAAAAGAAAAGAAAAGGAAACAAAAGTGAAGAAAAGAAAAGGGAAAAAAGAAAGAAAGAAAAAATAAAGTCCAAAAGTAATTATAAAATAATAATGTATTCCAGGAATTTTTGGAAGTTGACTTGGATTTAAAGTCAGGGAGAAAGCTGACTGCTGGAGTGCTAGGATGCTGAAAGAATTAATTTGAAGCCTTTTTAAAGCTGAGAGCCTTATTTGGAAATCTCCATAAATTGTGGGATTGACATAATACACAATTATGACTCCCTTTATGTGATTTTTTTTTTAAATTGGCAGCTGACTTGAAGTACTTCCTCTTAGGTGAGTCTACTACTCGACTAAGAGAGTGGGAGACTCATGATGGTGTTATAGGACTAGGCCCAGAGCCTAATCGACCTAGGCCCTGAACTTGGACCAGCAGGCCCAAACCCAGCGACCCAGAGCTCGAGCCGGCCCAACCGATCAAACTCATCAAGGAGCAGAAGCCCAAGAAGGCCTGCCTTCCAACCCGGTCAGCAGCCTGCCTCCAGCTCAATGGGGAGCCTGCCTTCCAGCCCAGCCAGGAGCCTGCCTCCATCTCGGTGGGGAGCCTGTTGTCCACCCCAGCGGGGAGTCTGCCTTCCGGCTCGGCTAGCATCCTGCCTCCAGCCCTGTGGGGAGCCTACCTTCGGCCCGGTGGGGAGCCTGCTGTCCAATCCAGCAGGAGGGAGCTTAAGCGTCCGACCTGCCAGCCGGGCCGACCTGCCAGCCAGGAACAGTAACGGCCAGAGCGATTAATGCGTGACTTAATTATGTATTTAATTCCGTATTGATGTTGTAATTAATTAGCCATTAGTATCTCTGGCAGTTACCATTTGTAATCACCTATAAAAGGCAAGTCTGATTCAAATAATAGAAATGCTATTCTTGGCAACTAAATCTCTTAGCGAGTTTCCTTATTCGTACTACTTTCCTAATTCTTACTTGAGTGTCGAACGTAGTTTTCCTAAAAGTCTATGAGTGTCCTATTTTGGACCAACACACCTCCCCATCGACTATCATTTTGTTCTACATCATGTTCAGAAAGGGTTGCTTCATGTCTCATGTTCACCCTGTGCCTTCTGTTGATCAACTCGTTGATGCACTCACTAAACCACTTTCTTGTACCCATTTCCTACCCTTACGTCCACTCCTGGCTTGAGGGGGAATGTAGAATGAAAGTAAATCTTTCCTTATTACCGTTAATTCTGCACATTTGTAGAAGGAAGGTTAATCTTTTCTTATTACCAATTATATTCTGCACATCATTAGTTTATATTGCAGCTATCATTTGTAATTATATTAAATCTTTAGTTACCTTAATGTAACCATTCTGACAATCAATAATATCATATCTTCACTCTCTAATATAAGATGTATAGGGGAGGGGTCTAATCTAAGCCGAGAGAATTGTAGACTTCCTCAAGCTCGTGGTATTCCTCTTCCATGTAGTCTTCCGGTCTTTGGATGCATTGGTCTTCAAAGAGCAGCTCTGAAGCTTCTCTACTTTCCCGAGTCTTTTGGTCGTGTTTTCCGATCACTGAAACTATCCTTTCTCTAATAGAACCTTCAACTGCTTCCATGTTGAAATCTGAAAACTGAAGTCCCAGGAGAGAGCAACATTCCTCTCGGAAGTCTCCATCATTTGAGGATAAGATCAAACGGGCAATTGTTTTTGAAAGATCTGGGGCGTAACTGCAAATCTGAGAAAGACACTCGAATCAGTATAAACTCTGTAGATTGACAAGAGTTTCAATTATAAGTTGAGCACTGTTTTTTACATCAGCTAAGGGTGCCCACAATAGTTAGCTTTAAAATGGCTCTATTCTAGCAGATGAACAGATGCAGTACATTGTAGAAGAGAATTTACCTTTTGTGCATGCTGACTAAGAAGAACACCTTTATTCTTCTCCTTCAGTTCATCAAGAGCAAGCTTGACAGCTCTTCTGGTCAGACTTCGACCTTTTTGACTGATTTGTGAATCCAGTAAATTCACCTTGAGAGTAAGTTATGAAAACGACAAATGCAGATAATACAATTACATGAATAAATTCCATGCCAATCTAAAGGTGACGTGAGTTCTGAATTAGATTGTGAAGGATATTGTTTGTCATAATAATGAATGATGATATCAATATGGAGAGTTGGCGACAAACTTTCCCATTCAAGCAATGCACAACCATCTTGGTCCATGATGTTCCTCAGTGTCAATCCATAGCTCTTCCAGTTGATGCTTTCCAATGCACTCAGTAATGATTTCGGGATAGTAGAGGGTACAAAGTCCCTATAGAACAAAACCTTAAAAAATACATGTTTTAATCACCATATGTTTAATTCAAGAGATCCAAACAAAGTTATGAAACCCTTTAACAATATATTGGTAAAATTGAGTTTAATGAATTAAACCTGTGTCTCTGTTTCATGTTCTCTGAAGCAGGATGGAGTAGCTACCTTAGGTAATTCACTAATAACAACCACAGCTTCCATCACCAGTGCATTGCTTTGCACGTTTCCTGAGCAGCTAGCAACTCCAGTGCCAACCATCAAATTTTCCCTGCTAATAGGTTTACGAAAATGGTTTAAAACCCATTGAAATATCCTTGGTCCAAAATTGTTTTTTCAACTTTGTCGGGCCCAAATGTTAATGATGTGAAAAGTGCAAGATTGAGATTTATGTAGAAGAGAGACGGAGAGAGTGAATATAAATATCATCATCATCATTACCCCAGTGCCGCAAAGGCTCCCACCTACATTGGGGTAAGGGGGTCGGATGTACACAGTCTTACCCTTGTACTAAAGCACAAAGAGTGAATATAAACAACAAACTTTTTTCTTAAAGGGAAAGTGTCAAAGTATTTCAGAATTCAGACAACCAATTAGGGACAGAGGGAGTATATACAATATACTGCAAGTTTCCAACAAGCTTAAAATCTTTACCACTTAAGTATTCTAAGTCAATAGAAAAAGGACCCGAACCATTCACACCCACACATTTCGTTAAAGAATCCCCACATTCACAGCAAAGATCAAATAAATAACATGTGCAGACATCAATAATAAACAGAAAATAGCCCTGGCTTATTCAGAACTTACCCAGTTGAAAAGCAAGAAGGACAAACACTATCCAGTTTATTCCTGTGCTTAAGGACATAATCCTCAAAACCTGTTCTTAGGCTGGTGACGCTTTCTACCGGAAAAGGTAAAGAACCACACTCAATGCCCATAATACAATTTTGCGTACATGATCCAGGCATGTTATAGTAATCAACCAACAGTTCAACTGCAACCAACTGTAAAGGAGCATGAAAAATCAACAACTGAAAAAGAATCTAAGCGACTTTTAATTACATGGTATGATGGTAATAGGAAAAATCATATGTGCTCATCCATACAAGGATTATAGCAGTTTAAGAAGTATGATACTACCTCCGTCCCGGAATTATCTCCTTATTTGACTGGGCACGGGTTTTAAGATAGTGGGAAATGTGTGGTGGAGAGTTGTGCAGAGGAAAGAGAAATGTGTAAGAATGGTTGTGAACCACAAATTCTTTGCCAAAAAAAGAAAGAGGAGATAAATTTGGGACGGACCGAAAAGAAAAAGGAAAGAATGAAGATAATTCCGGGACGGAGGGAGTATTAAATATTTGGACAAGCAAACAAAAAGAAAGAAAACCATTTTCTTGCATCTTAAAAAATCTGTTAATATTCTTCATAAGAGAAGCTGATTAAAACAATGAATACTTTTCATGTTCTGTACCAGCAAATTACACTGGTGATTCTGAGAGTTATAAAGAGCCCATGTAAGATTTGTTGCTGTGCATCATTCCATCCCATATAGTTTAAATAAAAGACCTTCCGAATGAAAAGTGTTACACTGTTACCCATACTCCAAATATAAACTTGTAATATCAGAAAGATTGAATTTCTTATATTTCTAAACATAAGGCATAAAATATTTCACAAAAACGCATGAACTTGTTAGGTTTCTCGGACCGAGAACGGGTCCAGGGACGACTTGGGGTAACAGGGTACCCGGTTGAGGTGATAACCGGCCTGCTAGGGTTACTCCTCTTCTTGCCCGTGGCTGGAAGAGCGCAGTAAGAGCGCAGGGAAGGGGGGAAGTCCATGACTTCTCTCTGGGGATTAATTCTTCTAATGATCGATGATTTTATTAATGCTGAAAAAGGAATATAAATAGGCATCCTGCCTTTACATGATAGAGTTCTAATCTAACAGAAACTATAACATCTAATACTTCTATTCCTAATAGGAGTTCTAATATTATAGATACTGTAACCTCTAATACTTTTATTCCTAATAGGAAGTAATAAATAAAATATAAAAATAGCATCAGGATAATTTCCCTCTTCTAATTAAACTGCTCTAAGTAAACTTCCCGCTGGTTCCATAAAAATGCATCCGTAACAGAACTTACCGGGATTTTTAAAACGAGCATCTGTAAAATTATCAAAATAAACTGAATGTTAATAGTAAGTAATGAAGTAAGAAGTTAGAAACGAGAAACTAGACTAGCCTGAAATAACTACAGATGAACAAAGATTTGATAGGTGGTAGGACATGTTGCTCACCTTCTTAAAAAATAAGGTTAAATCTTCCAATAAGTGATCAAAACTTTCAAATGTAGAGATTGATACCTCAGTGCCACTGTGAGATGAAAACAAAATTTATAACTAAAATTGAGCCGTAAAATGGTAACGAGTGTAAGAGCAGATATGCCTGAAATGTGCGCCATTCTTTGAGGTTGAAGGCAGTCTAGTCAGTCTCTTAGAAGAAACGGTGTTTTTCATGTTGAGGTTTAAGTTATGCATATCTTTGTCAGAAATACCTGCAGTGGTTGGTTTTCTGCTATGTATCAGAAGATGCAGGGAAAGAATTGCTTCTATAAACCGAAGCACTTGATTTAAATGTCCACTTCACCATGTCATCACATCATAAGTTATAGTGTATAACTATAACAACCGAAATAAGATTAAGAGTACTAGCATTATGGGCAAAGTATATGCAGATTGTCTGAACATTGTATAATAGTGTAAGATAGATAACATCTATTAAGAAAAGATCTTTCAGCATGGAAGATAACAAAGAGTAATTGAAACGTGTTGAGCCCTAGGTCATAATTCACAAGTTCATATTCAATTTAAGTATTCAATTTAACTCTTATCCCAAAATAAATTTTGACAGTTCCATGCCCACTCTATCACTGTCTCAGTGATAACTGATTGCTTATAATTCAAAGAAAAGTTATGTGAACTCATGCAATACTCACAACATTGTTATAACATGTGGTGATAAAACTTACTTGTAGTAGAAATAAACATCAACCCATCTGAGAGAGGGAGACAGAAGTGGAATTCATTATCAGACCGTCTGCGAGTGATGGTGTTGTAAATTAAAAAAAGAATGAATGCCATGAAATGGCTTTACTAACCCCATTTGCCAGCCTGAACGAGGCCACTTTGGTACTTCAAATGTTGGTATTCCTCCAGAGTACTGCCAACTCCTGTATCGGACACTGTTTCACCAAAATAAAACCAGAATGTAATTTGTTTTTGCACTTGGTATAAGCAGTACAAGCACCGATTTCCCTCAGAGAGAAAGAGAGATGACCTGAGATTCGAACGAGATGCGGATTGCACCATGGAGAAGTGGCCAGTTTCACTGATAATCTGCACATATCATTTTTCAGACGGCACCTCTGAACGGCGCAGAAGATTAACTGCATTAACTCAGAGATAAACCGTTACTAGTTGGACAAAATGGCTGGATAAGTGGACTGGGATGTTTATGGATGAACTCACATGTTTACAGAGCATTTCCACGGAGAAGATTTCCATACCTACTGGTAGAAACAGAACCCAAGCGTCGACTTCTATATATGCGGATTGCGAAATTTATATGCTCAATGTATTTGAATAAATATTCCTCCGTATAAATTTTGGGTTATAGTTACATCGATATAACTGAATGAAATAAAGGTAGGAAAAATATGAATCAAACTGATGGATATCGTAGTGGGGAGCAATTGACTAATACAGAGCTAATGTCTGAGGTGTAAGCTTTACAGATAGGTAGACAAACACGTACTGAAATTAGTAGAGTAACAATTAAAATATGATGGTTATTTATACTTTTATGGCTTATTACACAAAAAAAGTCCAACGTTTAGAGTTCGTGACAAATCTAGTCTATCGTATACATAATTACTTAAACACAACTATCCTTTCAATATCCAAGACAAATATATGATCCGTCCAAGCTGATTCGTTAGTGTCCGTTAAGTGCCTATGTGTCTTGTACACCTAGGATTTAGCCTTCTAATTAATTAGTTGATGTGTCATTTCTAATATTTATTTCTATGTAAAAAGAACGTGGATTCATTTCTCTCCTTTGAGTTGAGAACACAAACCCTACCTCTCTGATATTTAAGCTACTTCTACAATGAAAACAAAAAACAAAGAATCTATCAAGTGCTCATTCGCAGGCGAGGTTTGTATGACAAAGTAATAAGTTGATTCTTATATAGCATAGTAGGTATTTGATGAAATGTGTGAATGAAGTATAATGATTTCTAAGTTAAATAAAAGGATTGTGGGTATTTTTTATGGATGGAAGATCTGCACCAAGACGTCATTGAGCCTCTCGTGAAGCACGTTGATGAACTACATAAAATAAATACCTTAAATGACAAGGTTAAAGAATTGGAACTCAATTTGAGAGAGTTTGAAGAAATGATAGTTTTAGATTCCAATAAAAGAAATCTAATGAAGGAAGAAATTCAACAAGTAAAGGTTGGATATGCTCACATGGAATCTCAAAAACCTATCTCCAAAAACAACAATTGGAGGGGCAAATGGATGGATGTTCTCATGACTATATCTAAATGTCATCAATACTCACAATATACATTAAAATATCAAAGTCTCTTACAAAATGACTAAAACATTGTATGACTCCAAAAGATTAAGTTTCAATAACATGTATGGTTCCAAAATATCTTAAAAATCTTGAACATATATCCAACCTTCAATTTTTGAACTCCAACTAAACTGGTATGTTGCTTTCCATGGTAGTGTGTGTTCCTTCCATGGAATGTGCACCTTCTGTATTTGGGCCAGATGCAGCCTTCATTGACTGCCTAGGGCTCTTTGTCGGTCTTCCTCTATTACCCTTGGTAATTTTTTCAGTAGATTGTTGAGTACTCGGTTTCAGGGGCCTTCCTCTTTTTCTCTACAAGTTAAATTTCAGTTAATCTATCTTCATTATTAATAAATAGTTTCATGCAAGGATTAATAACTACTTTGCTACCTTCGGTTGTGGATCCGATTCTCGTAAAGATTGGGGACATTTTCTCTTGTTATGCCCATATGTACTACAGTTAGTACATTTCATTTTTAGTCCAGATCTCTTTAAAGTGTGTGAGATCTTCGGCTCTTCTTCAGGCGCTTTCTTTCGGTTTTTCTTGGGTCTACCCGGCATGACTCGATATGGCGGCGGTTTAATAGGTTCTCCAGGAACTTTAGGCCACATTCTTTCTCCATTCATTGGTGGGAGGCCTATTCTGTAATACTTCTTGTGTGTGAACTTTCGATATACATCATCAACATAAGTGCAAGGATCCACTCTCATGAAACTTATGCTTGCTATGGCATGTCTACACGGTAGTCCAGTCAATTGCCAGGCTTTGCAAGTGCATGTTCGTTCATTTAAGCATACCGAATACGCATCTACACCTTCATGAACTTGGAATAATCCACCAACCGAAGGTCTGGCCACACTTCTTGCAGAAAACCCAACTAGCTTTTCCAGCTTCTTCTTTATCCTTGGACATAATGTATCATCTACAAGATCATGCGACATAAGGTTCTGCTTGCTATATATCCTCTCCATGACATAATTGCGTATATCTTCCAACATGTGGATTAGAGGTTTAGTTCGCGCTCTACATATTGTTCCGTTAAAAGCTTCACACATGTTATTCTCAGATGCATCACACCTCACAGTGTACCTACATAAATGTTATTTTAATATGCAGTCCTTACTTAAATTTCATAACTACAAACTAAATAGCAGATTTAATAACGCACCTAAAGAAAGTTTTGCAAAATTTTGTAGGCCCTTTGGAGTTAAAGTCTTCATAAGCAGCCACATCAACTTCTTTAATCGCTTCCATTGTCTTTTCAAAATCCCATTCATTGGTACAGTTTACCGCACGCCAAAATAAATTTTTGAGTGCATCTCCTTTCCAGTTTTTTTTCCAATTCCCATATACATGTCTTGCACATAAACGATGTTCAGCTTGTTGCAAAATTTCATTTGCTTAGACTTAATGCAATCATATCTTTTCAGTAAAAAGATTCATTTTTTGCAATTTCGGATATAATGAATTAAGAAACACGGTTCAGTCATTTTGACAAACACCTATTGTGCAAAACTCTGGTTTTGTGCAAAACTCTAGTTTTGCACAAAACTTTTGGAACTCTTGTAGATTTAAGTTTCTGGAAGTAAGATAAGTAGTAATTGATGGCAAAAATTCTGGCTTCAATGTATTAGGAGTAGTTCTGGATAGTGGCAGTAATATTGACTAAAGATTGGAGTTAGCAACGTAAGCCGTAACTATGGATACGTAAAGTGGAATCTTTAAATTTCACTACTAGCAACCAATGCCTTTGATTTACTTTTGAGAAGCAAGTTTCTTCTTAAACCTATACATATGAGAAGCTTCTTTGAGTTTGACTGGTAAGGCTAGATTTTACGAACAAGGAGACTTGTACCTCATGAATGAGTATTCCCTCTAAATTAATTATTAATTAATTCAATAGTTTAATAACACCTTGGTTGATGAATCAGAATATTTGAGCTTCTTTCATATGCCAGGTAAGCAACTAACGGACTAAAATGGATGGAAGGAAACAGATTCTAAATTTCGTCTTGGATATTGAAAGGATGGCTTTGTTTAAGTAATTATGTATACGATAGACTAGTTTCATCACGAACTCTAAACGTTGGATTTTTTGTGTGTAATAAGCCTACTTTTATATATACTCCCCTATATTATCTTTACAAAGAAAAAAGGATGACACCCCATCCCAGAGGGCTCCCAAGTCCCAACTCCAATCGGACGGTACGTTGGGAGGATGTAAATTGGACTATAATCACAATCTGACAGATACAGTGTGAAGCTCTGTCCCCGGTACTTGCAGAGGCCCTATACATTTTTAGCATAGTAACTTCTGATCGCAGTTGCCGGGATTCGAATCTAGGACCTAACCCATGTGGCACTCTCTTGCTACCAGTTGAGCTACGCCCACCGATTATATTATCTTTACTTTTATTATTCATATGGTCAACTTAAATTACTTTTAATCTTTTATTTTATACTCCCTCCATTTTTTAAACAAGTTCCCCCTTTCCTTTTTGGGTAGTTCCCAAATTAAGTTCCCCTTTCCTTATTTGGCAAATTAACTACATCAAAACAGTGCAAAATAGTGCCAAACAGTGTCTAACAAGTGCAAAACAGTGTCAAACAGTGTCCAAACAATGCCCCAACAATGTCAAAACAGTAAAGTTTACCCTCAGTAATTTTTTCCCCTTAATAACCGTGAAAAGCAATGGGGAACTTGTTTTAGAAACGGAGGGAGTATATCAAATTTTAATTAAATTTAAATTTCAAATTTAAATTTTCTTGATCAGGGTTTGTAAAGGTTTTAATGTAATTTCTGCACATGTAGTCACTGGCGACCTACGGTGGTCACTGTCACTGGCCGGCGGTAGTCACTGGCGGCCTTCAGGTCAATGTCGTCGGTGCTGATCATTGGCGTCATCGAGTTGTTGGAAAAATGTGTTAAAAATTGCATTAAATGGTCATTTTGGGGCAATTATTTGAGTGGAGTCCACTTCCGATTTGGGTCGGGTTAAAGTGGTTTCGGATTGTCCTTGTTAAGGGCTACAATTCGATATATGGTACGCTCAAAACGGATAACGGGTGAATGAGAAATTGATTCTCAAAGTTCACTCGTTGAAATGGAAAAACTGGGAAAATGATGGGTTTCTAGTGTGTTTTATCCCACACCGGAAAACTCAAGGGATTTTCACCCCCGTATAAAGGGAAGCCTCTTTTAAGGAGTTAAGATTCCTGAAGGTAAAGGCTCTCTTTTACGCGCAGGGGGGGGGGGGGGTGCCGATCAAATCCCGAAACGGAGAAGAAAAACCGCGACTTGTGTGCGCGGGCGACCTGCGGACACGAATGCCGTCCGAAATACCTATCATTCAAAGATACGGTCTAATTTTTTGTTCTTCTTTTTTAATGTTGTGTTAAATGTAATAGAATTATTAGAGGCTTAGTATTGTACTTTACATTAAACTCTCTTTAATATAAATATATCTGTTAGGGCTCCTCAGGGAGTAATCTTTCCCATTATTTCACATGGTATCAGAGCCCTAAATTTTCTCTCTCCTAAAACCCTCATTTCCGCTCGATGAATTCTGCCGAAGGTCTGCACTCTTCTGCCGCAGCCTCCTTCTCGTCCATGGCAGAATCCACCATGGTATCTTCTTCCTCAATCACGACGCCGGTCCATTCTTCCTCCACCGACGCAGCCGTAACCAACACTGCCTTCTCCTTGCCAGCGCCGCATCAGATGTGCCCTTATCAGCCGGGACCGACTATCCCCAACGCCTACTCCTTGTTTCCTCCGGCGTTCCCATGGCAGCCACCTACCATGCCGACTATCCCAGGGCTCTTCTCGCCACCCTTCTCGGCTGGATCATCGTTTGCCGGTCTCACTTTTGTCGGCTCACCTGGTGTTTCCTCTGTCATCCCTCCCTCTCGCACACCAGCAGCCAGCCCGGCCGGTTCACTCCTCACGGATCTGGCCCAAAGTATCTCTCATGTGGCAACTAATGTCACAAATATTGTGACTACCAAATTATTAGCGGTGGAAGACTACACTACTTGGCGCACACAGTTTGAATCGTTTTTGGTGTCCCAAGCTCTCCTTGGCACGGTTGATGGCTCTATACAGGTACCACCTGCTTATTCCATAGATGCTCTTAACCGTCAGACTCCCAATCCCGAATTTTCTACTTGGTTGAGAATTGATCAAACCATCCGTTCATGGTTATTTGCAACACTATCTAGGGATGTTCTTATCGATGTACGTGATTTAAAACATTCATATGAAATTTGGGAGCGATTGGAGTCTCGGTTTATGTCTGCCAGTTTAGCGAGATCTATGGAATTAAAGCGTTTATTTAATCAAATTAAAAAAAAACTGATCAGTCCATGGATAATTATTTGCGAGAAATTAAAACATTAGCTGATGATCTTGCCACAATCAATTGCCCTGTGCCTCAACGTGAAATTTTAAAAACTACTATTATGGGACTAGGACCTGAGTATGAATCTTTATTCACTGTTGTGTCATTATTTGGACAAAATTTCCCGTTTGAGACTCTCCGTAATCATCTTCTTGAGTTAGAGCAGCGGGTCCTGTATCTCCGCTCCCAGGAGTCCCAGTCCCTTCATCAGGCGTTTGGCGCAGCTGTTTCTTCTCCCAGGCAGCCGTCTGGCTAGCAGCCGACTCAGCAGCATTCGGGATCCACGCACCCGGTCGGGCAGCAGGCTTACCCGGTCGGGCAACCGCGGCAGTATGGCGCACCACAGCGCGGTCGAGGACGCGGGCGCGGTAGAGGCCGCGGAGGCAGAGGGCGTGGCCGAGGACAACAACAACAGGCATATTGGTTCCCCCAGGGACAACCAGTTTATTACCCCGGAGGGGGTGGGCAGCCGAGTACACCTGCAGGGGGTGTGACATCTACGGGTACTGTTATTTGTAATTCTGTTGTGTCACATTTAAATATTAATGCTTTACCTGTCTGTGTTACTAACCGTAGTTCTGCAGGCTTGCCATCAGACTGGGGTATTCTTGGGTCTGTTCCCCATCCTGTTGTCTGTCAAATTTGTTGTTCTGCAGGTCATTCTGCCATCAACTGTCCTTCTCGTTTCACACAACCGCCCTCTCCTGCTCTGTTGACTACTCCCGGTGACACTACTCCTGCTCCATGGTTTCTTGATTCAGGAGCTTCTGCTCATATGACTGCATCTGAAGGTATTTTAGTTAATAAATCTCCCTACACCGGCTATAATTCTATTAGTGTTGCCAATGGTGCCCATCTTCCCATATGTAATGTTGGTGATGTTGCTTTACCTACATCTGGTCGTCCTCTCACTTTAAAATCTGTTTATCATGTGCCTCAGTTAAAATATAATTTAATTTCCATTAAAAGGCTCTGTGCTGATAATAATTGTACTGTAATTTTTGATAAAAATTCTTTTTTGATTAAGGACAAAGCAACGGGGGCAATACTTCTGCGAGCTACCAGTAGTGGGCCACTTTATCCTCTCCATCTGCCGTCATCATCACCATTAGTTTTTGCTTCCGTTTTAGCTTCTGGCCCTGTGTGGCACCGTAGATTAGGTCACTGTGGTGATAGTACTTTACAATTTCTTAAGAGAAAACAATTTTTATGTACTCATACTCCCTTTACTCATGAGTGTGTGGCTTGTCGTTTAGGAAAATCACAACGTTTGCCTTTTATGGATGCTAGTCATAATTCTGTTTTTCCTTTGGAAATTATTCATTCTGATGTGTGGCAGTCACCTGTATATTCAAATTTGGGATTCAAGTATTATGTGTGCTTCATTGATGATTTTTCTCGTTATACTTGGATATATCCCATGTGTCACAAAAATGAAGTTTTTATGCACTTTAAAAATTTTAAAGCTTTGGTTGAAAATCTTTTTAATCAGAAAATTAAAATTTTTCAAAGTGGTGGGGGAGGTGAATTTGTTAATAATAATATGCAGCAATTTTTTTCTGCTGATGGCATTTATTTTCGAAAATCTTGTCCTGACACACCTCAACAAAATGGGGTTGCTGAGCGCAAGCATCGTCATTTACTTGAGTTAACTAGGATCATGCTTCTTGAAGCTTCGGTTCCGAGTCACTATTGGGTCGATGCCATATTCACTGCTGCATATATTATTAATAGATTACTCTCTCCTACCTTAAATGGTTTTTCTCCGTACCAGAAACTTTTTAACCGTGTTCCGGATTACTCCTTTATGCGAGTATTTGGTTGTGCCTGTTATCCAAATTTTACTGCCACCTCAGCCAATAAATTATCACCTCATTCAGTTCAGTGTGTTTTTCTTGGCTATGCATCTGGTTATAAAGGCTATCGTTGTTTGGATCCTTTCACAGGTCGAGTCTATGTTAGCCGTCATGTTAGGTTTCATGAGGACACATATCCTTTTAAAACCCTCTCGTCTGCTCCATCCCATTCTATTTCTACTACACCATCTCCTATGCATCTCACCGATATCACTCTTGACCCACCTGTCGAGTCTGTTCCCACAATTACGGCCGCACCACCACCACCCCCCATCGCCACCTCGGTCACCCATTACTCCTACCACTCCATTTGTACCATCGCCCCATCCCTCCTTCCCCACACCCACAACCAGCCCTCCACCATCACATGTCTCCTCCCATACTTCGTCTAGCACGCTAGAGACAACCTCAACCGATAATGTCTCACCCGAAACCACCTCACCTACGTCCACTACGGTAGTTAACCACCATCCCATGCAAACCCGTGCTAAGTCAGGAATTTTTAAGTCTAAAACCATTTTTAATTTAAGTACAGTTACTATCGCTGCAGATCCTACCTGTTTTACTGAGGCAAATAAACAATTAAAATGGCGTGAGGCGATGGCTGATGAATTTAATGCACTCATTAATAATAATACGTGGGACGTGGTGCCCTTTGATAACTCTAAGAATATTGTTGGATGTAAGTGGATTTATAAAACTAAATATTATTCTGATGGATCCTTAGAGCGCCATAAAGCTCGATTAGTTGCACAGGGTTTTAATCAGCAGGCAGGTATTGATTTCTCTGAAA